GTGCCGTGCCCATTTAGCCCCCTCGATCTGGCCGAACAAAAGCTGTTTCGGCATGCGGTGGCTGGGCATGTGGGCTACATGACCCAGCCAACGCAGCCTTGCCTGCCGGAGGAGCTCACCGATGGGACTTTGTCCACATCTTTCAAGGATATGTGAGCTCCTCACACAATCCATCCTGGTTAAACCCAAGATGGATCGTAGGTAGGCCAGCCTAAATGTTTCTAACCGGCGAAGATGTTCCATTAGGGGGGTGACCATTTCACAAGCATAGAGAAGGGAGGGCATGACTGTGGTCAAGAAGACCTGAAGCTTCGTGCAGAATGACAGACCAGGTAGCTTCCACACAGCGAAAATATAATGCCACTCGCCTGATTCGGAGTGAACCCTCTGCTGTCAAACCGGAGCCAGTCATGAGCACACTGCCCAGGTATGGGAAACCATCCAATCTCTCCACAACTGCCCTATCACCAATTGGGAGTTGTGCGGGTGGAGTGTCCGATGGTGCAAAATACCCAGGCAGGTGCTTAGTTTTGGTGGGGCTGATAGTAAGTCCCCACCTCTTAGTAGCAAGCTCCAGTTTCAGCAGCAGCGCCTCCAACTCCTTCTCTGAGTGAGCAGCAATTACCAGATCATCAGCATACATAACATGGTTGAACAATAGGGAGCCATCCCTTAACCGCACCTGAGAATCGATCAGCCTCCCATTGTATCTGTACCAGATGGAAATTCCTCCAGTACAACTGACGTGGTCGAAAAAGATGTTAAATAATGTGGGAGCCAGAGGACATGCCTGTCGCACCCCAAAGTGAACAGGGAATGACCCCGAATCCCGGCCACATAGTTTTACCCGGACTCACTCACCATCATGAAGGTCTTTAATGATCATGAGCAGTGGGTCAGGGACTCCGAAAGCACGAAGAACAATCCAGAGCCAAGGCCTACTGATGGTATAATAGGCCTTGACCAGGTCAATAAAGCAGAGATGTTGGTCTTTTTGGAATTCCCTACACCCCTGCTATAGCAAATGGACAAAAAATATGGCCAATGTGCAGAACCGCCCTTTCCTGAAACCACATTGGGGCTCCGCAATTCTCTCCTCAGCGTGCCTGGCAAGGCGATGTTGAATAATCCTTGCCAGGACCTTTCCCGGCACACTGAGGAGTGAGATGCCCCTGTAGTTGTTACAATCTGTGCGGTCCCCCTTCTTCAAGAGGGGGAACACCAGGGTATCCTTCCAATCCTGTAGAACCAGTCTAGTGGTCCAGACTGTTGTTATGATGTCATGTAGGGCAGTCTGTGCACAAACGCCACCCTCTCTCAGCATTTCGATTGGGAGATAATCTATGCTCGGTGCCTTTCCTGGTCTCAGGCTCTGCATCGCCTTCAGTACTTCCTCCACAGATGGTACCTCAGCCAGCACCGCAGTCTCAGCAGGGTCATCTCCACTTTGATCCACGATGTTTTCCAGACTGAGGGATTTCCACTCTCCCAGGACCTCACAGAAATGCTCAAAAAATCTGCAAATCTGTTCCTGAGGGTCGTAGATTGGATCACTGTTCTTTCCCCTAATGATGGTAATAGGTGTGGCGCTGCAGGTTACTTTTTGGATGGAATTAAAGAGCGATTTGTGATCGCAGGCCATTGAGGCATACTCCATCTCTTCAGAAACCCGCGACCACCAACTATCCTTGCAGCACCTCACGGCTCTCTGAACCTCTGAGCGAAGGCTGCGGTAAGCCTCTCTAATGTGAGATGCTGTAGACGATGAGAGTGGTCCTGTCGTTTTTGCTCAGCTAGCCTAAACACCTCCTCTGTCAGCCAGGGTCTCCGAGGAGGTCTGGACCGTGTACCCAAAGCAACCACTGCAGTCGCATGAGTCACAATCCTAAACCTCGCCCATTTCCCCTCAACATCAGGAGTGGGGGACGATGCCAACCCCAGCTGCAAGCGATGATGTAATTCTCGCTTGCAACTTTCATCAGCTAGCTGAGACCATGCCGCTATGAGTTTGAATGAGGTCCTGGGTGTACACCAAGGCCGTAATTATAATATATATTGGGGGGGACACATCCCGCCCAATTTTCAAATATGCCGAAAATGTCCCCCCAATATATTGATAAAAAAACTATTTTGCTATGCTATATAAATAAAATATACAAATTGCTAAACCTTGACCACAATATCTGGACTTGTCTTCATATAAATCAATGCGTAGATGTCTGTGCATATGATTGTGGTTATGGTTGTACTTTATTAATCCCTAATCTCTGCCATTACATACAATGAATCAATAAATATAAAAATGAAAAGTTGAAACAGAGCAATGTAATACAATACATTATTGTAAAAATTTAAATAAAAAGTCCATCCCATGTGTTAGTGAATTTTTTTATATTTTAGGCAAGAAATTCGTTTTCAAAATTTGGTCTCCCCCAATGTTGACTCCGTGGCTACGGCCTTGGTGTACACCTCCCACCGGAGTGGAAGAATGGCAGGCGCATCTTACAGATGACAAGTCGATGGACAGTGGGCAGATCAGCTCCACGGTAGGTCCTGATGTCAAGGACATGGGCCCGCATCCACTGTTCCATCACTATGTAGCCCAGCAGATGTTCTTGCTTGGACCCAGAATGCATCCATGATGTTGTGTGGATGCGCAGGTGCCGGAACAGCATGTTGATAATTACAAGCCCATGGGCTGCACAAAAATATAGCAGCCTCTTACTGTTGTTATTGAGCTGATCTGGTAATGTCTTCCAATCACTCCAGAGGTGCTAGCATCATGACCAACTCGGGCATTGAAGTCACCCAACAAGATGACTCGATCCCGAGGGGCCACTTTAGCCAGCACCTGTGACAGGAGGTCATAGAAAGCATCTGACTCATCAGCCTTGCCTGCATCCCTCCACGGATGTTCGTCGTCGGTTGGGGCATAAGTAACCATGACCACCACTCCTCGCCTCTGGTTGATGGAAAGGCGTGCCCAAAGTAGCCTGGGGTTTACAGCTTCCCACACCTCACTGCCACGCTCCCATGCCCCCTTCATTATTTTGTTCAGGAGAAGAGCCACTATCTGCTGTTTGGCAGTCTCCTGCCCCACGTAGAGGAATGTCCACTCCTCATGGTTGCAGGAGCCAGAGCCGGTCCACCGGACCTCCTGAATACCACAGAGATCCAGGTGGTACTGATCCAACTCCTGACATAGGAGTGGCAGCCTCTCTTCTGCAGTGAGCGTTCGAACATTCCACATGGCCATCCGAAGTGGCTTTTTGTTGTTTCTGGAGGAGCCCCGAGGGTAAAGTCTCCTGGCTCCACCAAATGGGGTTTGGCCAGGAGACGTTATAGACGCCTATCCCCCCGGGGCATCCAGCACACGCTTAATACGTTTTTTGCATCGTAGTTTAGTGGTAGTTAATTGAAGGTGGAGGGGTTACCAGCTCTTCGCACCCATTCAGAGCCCCCATTTGGCCGCTGTGGTGGTTACAAACGCCATGAAGGGAAAGGCCAATACAAATTGGACATCCCACCATGGCACTGCCCACCACAGCATTGCCATCCGGCACCACGAGGTAGGGGGTTGTTTTTCCAGGACAGACAGCCTCACGCACACAAACACGTGCAGTCTCCTAAAGACCAGGTAGCCTAAACAGCGGTGGAGGTGGCCGAATCGTTGCAGAGACGGCTGTATAAGTGATGAATCGGCCGAGCCGCGGTGGAGGCAGTTGAACCACGGTGCAGTGGCATGGTATAGGGGTGTTGTATATTATTGCAAAATTTGGATTTGTCATAGGTGTGTGGGTGTTTCGTCAGTTGGTCTGGTGAATGTGAACGATTAGACTGATGGCTGGTTTGTGTCAGGTTAGCGGTGGTGATGTTTGATGAATGTCAGGAGAGTAGTGCATCTGGTGAGGGTCAGGTGGACTGGTAAGTGGTGTTGTGAAACCAGTGAGCAAATGGGGAAGATAAGATACCCCGATAGTACAAAAAAAACGTAGCATTCACAATTGTACAGTATTTCCAACGATTACTTTAATCTCTACTTTACAAATTATATTGTAGGTAACGCAATAGTTAATCCCCCAAAATCAACGTTTAATTGGTAATTTTAACATGAAAATAAATATGATAAAGGCATAATTTAAATGTTTTCATATGTATCAATGTTTATCTTTGTGCATCTCTATTCATCTCTGTTTGGGGCGCCACAGTAGCGAGGAGATGTGATCTCCCTCGCCTGGTACGCAGGAGCCTGTAGTCCTTTGGTATTGTCCTCCACATTTAGAAATGTGTGTTTAGATTATTTGGCTACTATAAATCCGAATATAGGTTAAGCTAATTTAATTAGCCACTATGTGTGACCAGGTCATCAATGAAAATAGCGAATAGCTCAAGTGGAATTTACCTTCTTCTTAGTTCTTTCGGTAAAGTCACGTAGAAGGGAAGTAATAAAATAATAAAAATAAAACATAATAAAATAAAATAATTCTCACGACGTTTCGGCTACAACGCAAGCAGCCGTCTTCAGGTGAAGACGGCTGCTTGCGTTGTAGCCGAAACGTTGTAGCCGAAACGTCGTGAGAATTATTTTATTTTATTATGTTTTATTTTTATTATTTTATTACTTCCCTTCTACGTGACTTTACCGAAAGAACTAAGAAGATGAATCCCTGCAGTCACGAAAGCTTTAAATCGAAATGGAATTTACCTGCTAAATAAAATATCAATTGCGTCTTTCCATCTCTGTTTTCATCTGTGCATTTCGCAAAAATAAAGATATTGTACATTTGTCACACACAGACCTCCCGCGTGAGACAAGGCATGCTGCTGCTGCCTTACATGAATGGGCAGTGGTGATAACGACTGTGGTCAGTTTTAGTCTCAGATTCACGAACAGCTGCGCTGGTCAGTCTGCAGCACTTAAGATATGGACTCAGTAAGCGACGCCAGCTGCATACTATGTTATTATTATTGCATGCGTTTAAATTACATGTTTTTGGAAGATGTTTGCACAGGTCATGCGAGGAGCGGCGTAGTCGTGGCGTCCGAGGGAGACAAGGTCGTCTTGAACTGCGCTCTGCCACGGAATGTGACAACCCGCAGTTTGGAGAGTATACAATGGCGAAAACACGACGTGAATGTGAGTTCGTGCGAAGAGTGAAGTCGCGATCGAGCGACATGAGTGCAATGTGAGCATTATGGGTGTCTGTAAGGGTTTGTGATTGATGCAGCTGGTGAGCGGTGGCCAGAGGTCACAACCGGGTACCCGATACCCGTACCCTACCCGATACCCGGCTACCCGTACCCGGCCGGGTACGGGTACGGCTACCCGTACCCGTACCCGTACCCGGCCGGGTACGGGTACGGGTAGCCGTTTGCGACCCTGGTGCGGCCGGGTATGGGTACGGGTAGGCCGTGAGTCACTGGTGAGTAACCGTTTGTCACTCATTTCGGGTAGGGTACGGGTACGGGTAGGGAACGGGAACCCGTACCCGGCCGGGTACGGGTATCCATTTGCCACCCTGGTGCGGCCGGGTACGGGTAGACCGTGAGTCACTGGTGAGTAACCATTTGTCACTCATTTCGGGTAGGGTACGGGTAGGAAACGGGAACCCGTACCCGGCCGGGTACGGGTATCCATTTGCCACCCTGGTGCGGCCGGGTACGGGTAGACCGTGAGTCACTGGTGAGTAACCATTTGTCACTCATTTCGGGTAGGGTACGGGTAGGAAACGGGAACCCGTACCCGGCTGGGTACGGGTACCCATTTGCGACCCTGGTGCGGCCGGGATATGGGTAGGGGTAAGGAATCAAAACCCGTTTGCGACCTCTGGCGGTGGCGCAGTGGTGAGTGCACCAGCGGGTAATTTCCCGCCAGGACCGATGTTTGATATTACAATTGTTAAAATCGGGGATGGGGCGAGTTGTATATCCAGTAACCGCATTCAAAATGTAAAAACACCGTTCCCGGTTTGCGGCACACATATGGATTTACAATGCAACATGTTCACTTTTTAACTGAGAAACGAAGGGAGTAGCCATTGTGTGATATGTAGCACATCGGACTCATCGATAGACAGGTCGCGTGTTTGGTACACCCACCCTTTCCAAGACGTCTAATTAGCGTGGAAGAGGAGGCCAAATACCCTCTAGAGAACCCTCTAGTGGAGGCGCTTCCACCAGCAGTGGCGCAAAGCGAGAAATTACAGGGGTGCACCTGTATCCTTTCAAATGAGATACGAGGATAAAATACCCCACGGCGGCTTTTGTACTGTGACGCGTGCGAACCGGTGCATTTGTAGTAGAGTTACCCACTCGATGTTCACAAACTGGGAGAGCTAATCGTTGACAAGGTTTTCCAGCTCAAACTAACGGTCAGGGTCTCACAAGTTGTGAGAGCTGACCATAAACAAGGTTTTCCCGCGCGACCTAACGGTCAGGGTCAGATAGGGTGAATTGGGATCCTAAAGCAGATTGGGAACGACCAATCACAGGGTTCCACAAGGTGGCCGGGGATTGGACAACCCGGCCACGAACAAGTATAAAGCCAGAGCGCTCAGAGCTCTCGGGGAGTTCGACTACACGAAGACCCAAGACGGCGGAAGAAGCCTAGGACCCTGGACCAAGCCCTCCAGCCCTTATACGGGCTAGGGTTCAGAGTAACCAGTGGTCGGGGAGACATTTTCCTAGGTCCAGTCAGAGGACACTGAAAGAGCGGGATATTAAGTAGCCTGTAGGGTGCGGAGGCTTGTACGTTCTGAGTGTAACGAGTGAGGGGACCGTATACCCCTCAGTGCATAGGGACTGTGTTCATAAGACGAATAAAAGTGTGTGCTACAAAAGACGTTGAAGAGTCCGTCTGTACAACACTACACATTCATTACTAAAATTCCAATTAAAACGACTGCATGTTCTATAATTTCGAAACTGGCAATCGACTAGGATACGTTTACCCTTTAACAAGTTGATTTGTTATCCATGATCCGCTGTAGCGGCCGGCGAGGAAGATGGGGCTATTCCCCGCTTCAGGGCGTTCTCACTCACACAAAAGACAAAGATCCCCTGTATAGCCTTAACAGACTGTTGGGGCAAGTGCTGTTAGCGAGCACCTATGAAGCCCGGCACGGTACACAAAGAGGTGGGTGGCCAGTACCACGCCCGTCCGCCTTTGTCTCCCTAGTGGCAATGTTTAAACACCGCACTTGGTAGTCATTTGAGGCTGACTCGACCTAGGGGAGGCCCAGGACCGGTTCAAATAATCGTCACTAGTGTTGGCCGTGAGCGAGAATTTTACTTGGGTCGCCGGGTTCGCAGCGCAGCGTACTGACTGCTACACTACCGCTCCCCGCTCCCTCCTCCCTCTACACTACCTCTCTCTCACACACATGCACACACGTGCGTGCACCCGTGTGAGAGAAAGTTCGGAGACACGTGCACGTGTGTGCCTGTCCTCGCAGAGCGGACTCGCCGGTGGCGGGAACAGCTATGGGCGTTGGGAACCCAGTGCGCTGAGCATCTCCATAGGCGGCCATGAGTCAGCGGTGGAAATGTAAAATTCCCATTACGAAGGGGTGAGTAGGGGGGCAGTTTCCCATAGCCACTACCCAAGCTGCTGATGATGTTGTTGCTCTAGCTGATGTTCCTGCTCCTCCACTGCTAAAGATGAGGGAGGGAGCGGCGCTGCCGATCTCCTGTGTGGACATCTGATGAATGTGTGCGAGTACATTATATGTGTGCTCATATTCTATATATATAAAAGGGAAATTTGTGAAAATGTGTGTCTGTTCGAAATGTTTAGCATACTTCCCAACATGCAACACACTTGAAATTTGGCATGTTGGTAGCTTCCAGACTGTATACAATGCAAAACGTATAAAAATATACTTTTGTATTTTGGTGGGGGGGGGGCGCAAAAACTGTATATATTTTGCACGGCAAGTGAGCGGTGATGTCACATCTGTAATGTTACCCGCATGCGGAAGCGTTACGCAGTGTGCCTGCTGACGTCACGCACCCCCCCACCCTCCGCGTAAGTCGTGTATTAATCCAAGACAAGAATCCTAGCTGCTCGCTAAAACCACTTTCCACAACAGCCTGTGAAGGCTATATTGGGAATAGTTGTCTTTGAATATATGTCACGTGTATGCTAAGAACCTTGTAGCCTGAATTTAAATCCATGGCTAACATCAGTGGCGAGCAACATCTGAATCGCTCCTGGGCACTCTCTTCACTATCCCGCACTGACCAGGGGTGAGGTAATGGTCACACAACCCTCATGTCCGAAAAGGCGTGCAGTGGCCTTCATTGACCAGTTGATTGACAAAACATAAACTGTATACAGCACCTTCAAAAACACTCAATCTACGTTCAGGGTGAGAACCAAATGAATTGTCTTGATGGTCTACACGTGTCATCTGCTTAGATCATTTACCACTCGAAGAAACTTGAAAAACCATCTGTTTTTCATGGACTCGCCTTTACGGGGAACATATCAGATGGGAACGCTTCGATGGCTTTCCTCAACAGTTCAAGTCAATGATTCTGGGCATTACACTTGTACCCTGGAAGGGAAAAGCACTTCAATCGTCAACAACTTCTGTCTGGATGTCAAAAGAACATACATCACCACCACCACAGCAACAGGTATTGGAGACTTGTCTGTCTACACAAGCTGACACGCCCTACACGTCCATTATTTACCCAGGATAACTTCAGTAAGTCTCAGAACTTTTTCAGGAAGGCCTCGCATTAAGATATATGGATAATTCCATTAATGAGCGCATATAAATGTGAGCAGAAACTGGAGTTCCCGGAGAAAACCCAGGCATACGAGGGGGGAGAAACTCAGCGCTTCCGTCAACCTCGCTGAAGCTGTTGCTCCATATACGCCCAATGTACGTGCTGAAGAATGTTCTCTTTAAGCAAAATTTGGGTGTCTATATTCCAAATAATGGGGCAAATCACCATAGATGATGGCCTCAACTCTAATTGCCTCGATAGTGTTTTGAGAAAAATTTATTAGTGCACTGTAGTTGGCTATTCCCACCCATAATAGAGGTTTTTAGGTTAGATCATGTAAATATATAAATGTGTCGTTAAAACCCGCCACCACCCGACACAGCCAACTAGTAAGAGTTGTCACGTAAACAGAACATGCCAATTCGTCACTAGTACAGCACACCGGTGTGTTGGAGAGCCAAGCCACAATATTTACAAGGATTCATGTCTGCATTAACCACAATACTTGCAGTCAAAATGCAAACAAAAACACACTCTGATAATATATAAGGGGAAAAACCCTATTATTATATTTTGGTACTGGCAAAGGAGGTCTAATGATGTAGATGCTTACCCCGAGCCCTCATTACTTTGATAGTGCAGTGTCTTTAAGCTGTACGCCTTTTGGCGTCATTTGGTCTAGCACCAATTGAGACGAGGCTCAAAAGAAAGCTGTCTCTGGTGTTGACCGACCAGTTTCAAGGACAATGTCTCTATTATCAGTGTGTTTTTTGTTTGCAAATTGACTGCAAGTATTGTGGTTAATGCAGACATGAATCCTTGTAAAAAGGTTTCAGTTTTTGGTACTGACAAAGGAGGTCTAATAAAGCAAAGAATTATAACATTTTATATTTGAGCCTTGGCCTACAAAAGGTTGAATATGAAAGTTTTAAAGGATTCTGAATGTAAAAATGAAATTAATTTTAAAAAGTAATGTTTGAGCACGTTTGACACGAAATCCAATACAATGTAAGGCCCGTTACTATTTCTCGTGATGTGACGAAATAGGCACTTGCTAAATTCTTAAAAAGAGCCTAGAAATTGCACGTTTTTATCAAGGCCTTGTCCAGCTTCGGTTAAGAGTGATTACAGGTTCTATTCCTGACTCGAGGGGCCGAGTTTGTACGTATGTTCTACCCTTGTTTTGCATGCGTTTCCTCCAGGTTTTTCGATTTTCTCCCCATAGCTAACAAAAACATACGATGTACAATGTAACCATTGTGGGCCAAACATCCCAATGCTACAAATATCCTGCAAGCTAACTCAATTGTGATCAAACACATAGCAACATTGCTTCCTGTTGATAAAAGCCTGGCAGGACCCTTCTGAAAAATAGATGAAACTCACTGAGACTTTCTTTGGTACCGAAGAGTAATAATACATAACCCCTGCCCTTTATTCTGTAACGCGGAAAATTGCCAATCAAGCTCCTATCATCGGTAAGATTGGAATCGCACGATAGATTTTTAAAGGTCCGTTCCCCATAGTAGTCCGTCCGTAGGTCTGGATGAACGAGAACGTTTCCTAAGTAAACATGCACACGTTAAAGTTTGTTTTTAATGTGAAAAAGTGAAATCGAGAAGCGTGTAGGGGAAGCTGCGTCGCTGATTAATTGGTCGGGCTTCCCATATTATAGCCGATATTGAGTCTGAACATTTTGTTCATTTGAGCGTTTAATTGCCTGCTCAGAATCTACAGCCACACAAGCCCTGCACGTTGAGAACTACTGGAGTACGACGATGACAGTGATCGTGGGAATCCCTGTGTTCGCCATCATCCTCATCGTCCTTCTCACATGGGGATACCACAAACATCATAAGACCGTTAGAGCTACAACGCAAAGGTGATGACCCATTGTCTGATTAAATAGTAATGCTACATACCGTATTCATATAACGTCGTCCACGTAAATTTAATCTCAAGACACTGTACAATTTGTAATGTGATGCTTTCGAAATGGAGGCGCAGGAAATTACTGACAGACGCTCGGGAAGGCAGCCAAAACTGACGCTATTCACAACTGTCCAAGCTCTCTGGTCATATATTGGGATGTTTGGCCAACTCCAACATCAACTAAGCGGTCAAAATCCGTATAAAAATGCTTCTGTAAGTAAACTGCTGTCAGTGAGCTAAGGATGATTAGCATAATCTCCAGCAACCACAATCGATGTAAATAGGAACCATTTTGAAGTTGCAGAGAAAACGTGATCTGGGCTGCACCTCAAATGCAGGGCTTGCTCTGCGAGTGAAATAACACTTACAGCAGTAGCAATGGTTTCTTAGTGTAGTCGTCATAAACAAATGTGACCAATGTAACTGCTCACTAAGCATCGCTCAATTATGTCACTTTCACGTCCCTGTAATGAGGCAGATAAAGATGGGCATCCAGGAACGAAGAGTGACCAATTTATATGTCAACAGATGTAAGTGGCCATATTTGGAATTATCTCGTGAAATGGATGTTACTTTCACCGTTACGTGGCAGTCATTATAATTACGATTAATGCATGTTTATCATTATCATCATCACCATCAGTTACAATCTATTTGCACTTTTATTAAGTGGATGTTAGCATTGAGACTGATGTATGGCTCTTTCTGATGACTACTATGCCCCACAGAAAAATGCAAGAGCGGCCATCACACATGCAGGAATATGCTAACATTGACAAGTCTGTAAGTATTATACCATTCTCCGTCCTCATACTTCAGGTTTTATTGAATTTATTTCAGAAAACTTCGTCTTCCTTTGGGGTATTTACTATTGACCATGTTCAGCGTCAAAGTCAAAGAATATAATTCCCATCTTGACAATTTACAATTTATGGTGACATTTCCCGCTGTCAGCGGTACAATATAAAAAAAATATAGGCATATCTCGCTTAATGAGCATTCCTTCTACAATAATTTGGTGTTACGAAAACAAATTATTGAGACTTATTTGTTCGCAAAACGTCGCAAAACGAGCAGATGTTCAGTTAGCAAGCGGAGACTGATCGATAAATATGCGTCCCGTGGCACAGGGGGCACCCGGTGGCCCACAGGTGTTTGTTTAGCTGGTCTCTTGTGCTGTGCCCGTGTGTTTCGTCGTGTGGGGGAAGGGAGCCTTATGGTGATTCTGTAACAAGTGGCTTGGGGGCGGACGGTGGCGCTTTGGTGAGCAGTGCCATGGGGGGAGGGCCATTTTCTATTGGCCATTCCCCTCATGGCGTTGGTCGCCACCACAGTGGCTATGAGGGGTTCTGGATTGGTGCGAGGGGCTGATGGCCCCTACACCTTGAAATGGATTACCACTAAACCACGAAAAAAATATCAAACGAAGCTTGTGTTGGAGGGGAACAGGTGTCTATGACGTCTCCTGGCCAAACCCCATTTGGCAGAGCCAGGAGATTAAATCCTTACCCTCGGGGTTCCTCCAAAAACAGCAAAAAGCCACTGTGAGTGGCCACTCGAGGAGAGGCTGCCACTCCTCTGTCAGGAGCTGGACCGGTACTGCCTGGATCTCTGTGGTATTCAGGAGGTCAGGAGGACCGGCTCTCTCTCCTGCGACCATGGGGAGTGGACAGTCCTCTACTCGGGGCAGGAAATTGCCAAACAACAGGGAGTGGCTCTTCTTCTGAACAAATTAATTAAGGGGGCGTGGGAGTGGAGCGGTGAGGTGTGGGAAGCTGTAAACCCCAGGGCGACTTTAGGCTCACCTTCCCATCAACCAGAGGCGAGGAGTGGTAGTCGTGGTTACTTATGCAGCAGCAACCGGGTCACTGGAGTAAAGTGGACCACCGCAGAAGCACTAGAGAGATCGGCTGCAGGGGGGGAGAGAGAAGGGGGGGGGGGAAGGAGGCGGGGCAGATAGTGGACCCCACATCAGCACCCGGGTCACTGGAGTAAAGTGGACCACAGCAGCAGTACTCGAGAGATCGGCTGCAGGGGGGGAGAGAGAAGTGCTGCTGCGGTGGTCCACTTTACTCCAGTGACGCGGGTGCTGCTGCGGGGTCCACTTTCTGCCCCGCCTCCTTCCCCCCCACCCACTTCTCTCTCCCCCCCCCCCTACTGCCGGGTTCTATATAACCCCGTGCCATAGCAGATCTCTCACCTACTTCAGCAGTTTTTTCTTGCTGTAATTGTCTCACCTGATGACGATTGCTTGTGTTGCGATCGAAACGTCGTGATCTATACATTTTCTACCTACGTGACTTTATCGAAAGAACCAAAGCGTATGGATTCCTGCAGTCACAAAAGCTTCAAATCAAGATATTAGACATCTGTTTCGACCACGTGGTTTGTGAGGCCTTCAGTGGCTGTGCCGGAGGGGCTTCCACGTGGTGCAGATACAGTGGGGGCTGGTCGGTGCCCGGGTATGGTTGGGAGATGGCTCCTTGTTGGTCAGACATGTTGTGTATGCCGATGGTCTGGTAGTTGCTGCTCGCTCGGGGGGGGGGGGGCAGGTTGGAGGCACTACTGCTGAGCCTAGAGCGTGCCGCTGAGGGCTGGGGCCTTACCATCAGCCCCACCAAAACTGAGCACCTGCCTGGTTGTTTTGTGCCATCATACGCTGTGCCCCTGCGGCTCTCAGTTGGTGATGGGGCAGTTGTGGAGAGAGTGGAGAGTTTCCCATGCCTGGGCGGTGTGCTCATGACTGGCTCCGGTTTGACAGCGGTCTCGTTCCAAGTCAGTCGGGTGGCATTATCCTTTCGTCGGTTGTGTGGCACTGTGTGGGGGCTGCCTGGTCTGTCACTCCACGTGAGGCTTCGAGTCTTCTCGGCCACAGTCATGCCCTCCCTTCTCTGCGCTTGCGAGGCATGAACCCCCCTGGTGGAGCATATTTGCTGGTTGGAGGTATTTGGGCTGGCCTGCCTGCGGTCTATCCTGGGTTTGACTGGGCTGGGTTGTGTGGCAAGCTCGCGGATTCTTGAGGGATCTGGAGGGGGTCCCATCGGTGAGCTCCTCTGGCGGGTGGGGCTGCAGTTGGCTGGGTCATGTGGCCCACGTACGCAGCCACCGCATGCCTGGCAGCTTTTGTTCAACCGGATGGCGGGAGCTGGACGGGCGCGGCGTGGGCTGGAGGGGAGGTGGAGTGGTGTGGTGTGGGAGGATGTGGAGCTGGGTGGACTTGCTCATGACTGGTGCCAGGGGGGTTGGGATCGGCCTCTTTGGAGGAGGCTAGTGGGTGATGCTGCTGGGCAGTTGTAGGCCGACGGTGGCGGAGGGCGGAGGAGCCATGCTCACGATGGCGAGCGGAGCGCTGGGTGGCTAAAACACAGCAAGTTAGGCACAGTAGGGGGTACAAGTGGTGCATTGGCCAGTCAACTCAGTCAGTTGACCGATGGCACCTGGGTCTTTACCCGTTACCGTCCTGCCGGCGGGCATTCGACACTTCACATGACCTCAACGTGCACATAGCCTGGCACAAGCGCCGTGGTGACGTCACTGGCTGTTGTTGTTGGGGTGGATCGTGAAGGGACAGAAAGTCACGCTCCATCTCGCATCCCTGCCTCGTAGCTATGAACCCAGCAATCCTGATTCGATTCTGAGCCATGGCTAACATCAGTGGCGAGTGATATTTGAACCATTGGAAGATCATACAATGTCCACATGGAAAGGTGCTGGGATCATCATTCAAAGCCAGGCAGGCGCTTCTTGGAGGCACGAGTGTTGACACTGTGCCACCTTGCTGCCCTTATATAAGATTGAATACATGGAAGCATAGGGTGCAGTTATATGCTGTACCAATCATACACTTAATCCATACATGTGAATGCAATTGTGAAATAAACAGCTGTAAATTGGAATAGATCAGTAAAAATAAATTACACGGATAAATGTATTTCACAGAGTTGGTGACAATGCAAAATTATATGCACATGCCATATAACTTAAAACCCTTAAGCGAGACTTCGAAACGAATTTGGCACAACCCCCGGCAAGGTCTACGATCCCTCCCTCTCAGGACAATTCAATTTAAGTTCCTTCATGACACATATCTCACTAACCAATGGAGGACTACATTATCTCAGACCATATTTCCGCAGACTGCCCAAGGTGCCCCACGAGCACCATCCAAACTTAGATTCACGCCTTCTGAGAATGTCCAATCATCAGGACATTCTATGATAAAATAACCGATCTGTACAAGGTGATGTCTGGCACTGAGATACTACCTGCCATTGAATCCTCCCCCCTGGGCCTTAAACCCAAGGTATCACCAAGCACCAACACACCCTTCTCTATGCATTAAACATTTCGATGAGAAAACCCATCTTCAGCTCCTGGAAAAATCATGGGACTCCTTCATTCACCCTGTTGTATATGTTGGATTATGAAATTTCGCCCGGGTCGTGCTGCTGCTGTCGCTCTCTCCTTGATCGCTGCCAACTTCACACGGACACTCGCCCTTGCTTCAGGCTGTGTTGGCTTGTGGCTCTGGACGACGCGGCTCTGCGCGCTCACTGGCTTGGAGCGCTCTGGCGATGAACGATGGCCTTTGTTGCTCATTCGCTGCTGCTCGTCCTTTTCGATGCTCGCTTGGTCGACGCTTGGCGATTTCCGCCCTTTTACAGGTTGATTGCTTGTCGTCACTCATCACTCTCTCTTCTCCGTGCTTTCCTCTGTTCGTGAAGCTGCCAGCTTCACTCGCATTTAACTTCGTTCAGCGAGATGCGACACCTGCTATCAGCATCGGTGTTTGCTCCCTCACGACGCTCCGCCAGCCGGAGCACGGCTGAAACCCAGCCTCGACCCAGGTTGAACTCAGACTTCTGTGACTCGAACGACTCCCTCCTCGTTCCATCACTTCTCGAGGCACGACGCGCCCCAGCTCCCTTGCGAGTCCCGTCGCAATGCTGCGTCGCAAGCCGAGTCGCGAGACTGAGCGCGACTTGAACAGACTACCCTCAGGCGGTCACTCTACGACCCCTCGTCGTCCCATCTCTCCTCGAGGCACGATCTGCCCCAGCTCTCTTGCGAGCCCCGTCGCAACGCCGCGTCGCAAGCCGAGTTGCGGGACTGAGCACGACTCGAACCAGACTGTTCATTCGTGATGTGCGCTTGTGCTTAAACTCAAAACGTGACTCCCCTCTCTGCGCATCTCTTGCGAGAGAAAACAAACAGAAAAAAAACAAATGTCCCAGCTATGCCAGCACAGACCCCCCCCCCCCTCGCGACCCTTTGACTCCCTTTGCTCCCTGCTTGCCCTGCGTGGGTCATCCCGAGGCCAGACCCCGCTGGAAGACAAAGGTGGTCGAGGAGATTTATGCAATACCTTATGTGGTCCTGTGTGTTACATTTATTCTTGATATTTCTTATAAGTTCCCTCGGTCTTAGTATCGTGGTTATTATTTGTCTATGTTTAATGAATATTCGTAATGATCCTCATTACATCATTATTTTGAGGGCTTCGCCAAGTTTAGTTCTCCAGAGATTGGTGTTTTATTCTGAGTTATATTTTAATGTCCTGAGGTTAAGTGTAACTAAGTTTCCACTTAAGCTTTCTGGAATTCGTACTCTTTAGTTTTTAGGAAGGTCATGTAGATAGAATAATATGTATGCGGTGAATATGAGTAATATAAGGGAATTACTAATATAAAGCCCCTATTGTTTGTTGGTTAATTTTTTTTGTTAAGTTTCTACTTTTCGGTAAGGAAAACGTTAAGGAAAACGCGAGTTGCAACCGTTGTTAT